CACAAAACTATAAGAAACTTTTTAAAACCACTGCATCACTGTCTCTGTTTGTCCATTCAATCAGCAAACATTTTTGAGCAATACTACATCAGGCGCTGTGCTCAACACTGATTGGTTCTTAATGTTGTTGACCAGAACTCTTGGGATAGATCTCCCACATCCTGCACTTCTGCAATTTACTTTTCACTCCTAGGTGGTAGATTTACATTTTTTCATGTTAAATTTCTTCTGACTGATGGTGGCATATTTTTATAGTATAATAGGGCCCTCTAAATCTTAATCATAGCATTCAATATTTTCAACCATTTTTTTCTAGCTTTGTGCCAATTACCAACATAATAAAATAATATCCATGTCTTTACCTAAATCACTAATAAGTTGAATACTTAAATGCCCAAGATAGAGGCTTGTCTAAACCACTAGATACTTTTCTATAAGGCAACTTACCAACTCCTAACAGTACTATTTATCTAGCTTATTCTTTTTAATATATTAATAATTCACAAAGGTATAATGAATAACATATCTTTTCTGAAGTTAATATATATTATGATCATAGCATCTTTTTGATCTGTTAGCTTAGAAATTTTATATACAAAAAAACAATTGGCATGATTTAATATTTAGTAAATCCATTTGTCATCAAATAGTCCCAGTTTTCTTTTCCAGGTAATCATAAATACATGAATAATAATTTAACCCTCTGGGCATTTATCCTAAAATTCACCAAAATTTTATTTTTTTATTTTTTTTCATATAGCCACTTTAAATTTGAGCTCATTCAAGGGCACCCCATAAGAATATTGTGGAAGTTAAAAGGGAAAATGAGTGTTAACAGTCTTTCGCACAGTCCTGGTATATCATAAGAACATTATTGTAAATATTTGAGGTGCCTCATTTGTTAACCATCATTATTGGATTCCCAATTCTAATTTTAAACTCTCCCATCCCTTCAAAGCTATATATATCTCTCTCTAGCCCATAGCCTTTGGAATCATTGCCCTGAACTATCAGACGTCTCCTACCCTTACGCTTACTTAGGAGCTTGACTCACACTCTCTAGTAATTACTGCAAAATCTTGGGGTTTCCTTCACTTTCACAGCGCCAAGTTGTTCTTCTGTGGAGATCAAATTAAGACTCAAGAAGCAGTTCTTAGTACAGATTACAAAATAGTCATGGTAATTACAAAATAGTCATGGGGATGTAAAGTACAACATAGGGATTATAGTCAATTATATTAACTATGTATGGTGCCAGGTGGGCACTGGAAATATAAGAGGGAACACTTTGTCTAACCACTATGTGGTACACCTGAAATGAATCTACACTAATAAAAGAGAAATATGCAAATTGCCCATACCTCCATGATGCCCACTAGACAATCAGGAGTATGTAAATTAACCCAACAAAGATGGTGGGTTAATTTGCATACACAGGCATGGAGCAGCCAGGCAGGGCAGAATGCCTGCTATGAGGGGGAGGGAGCGGGGAGTGGAGGGAGCTACAGGAGTGGCACTTCAGCCGGGAGCGAGGACTTGCAGGCTTGCGTGCAGCTGGCAGCAAAGCCAGGGGAAGGAAGGCCTATTCTTGCATGAATCTTCATGCAGCGAGCCTCTAGTACAAAATAAGAGTGAATGTAAACTGTAATTGAAAAAGAAGTAAAAACAACAAATGAAGCAGTTCTTCTCACTTGCTTTTTCTTAAAGGGGAAGCTTTCATCAAGAGTTCACCCAATCATCATCTTTAGAAGACAGCCGCTTAAATAGTACAGAGATAACTGTCTCTCCCTCCCTTCTTTCCTCCCTTCTAGAACAGTGGTTCTCAACCTTTCTAATGTCGCGACCCTTTAATACAGTTGTGGTGACCCCCAACCATAAAATTATTTTCGTTGCTACTTCATAACTGTAATTTTGCTACTGTTATGAATTATAATGCAAATATCTCTTTTCTGATGGTCTAAGCAGGTGACCTTGCTATCGGTTCTAAAAAAAAAAAAAAAAAAAACTAAAAAAAAAAAAAAGCCCTGAAAGCACAGCTGGGTGTTTATACCTTATTCAGTTTGGAATGGGAAGCCACAAAGTTCTCAGGGGTCAGGCATAACTTGACCCAAGTTATGGCCTGCAAATAACAACGAGGCCACTGTGGTAAGATGACTTGGAGACTGCCCAGTGACAAACTTATTCTTCACAGCCTTCCTGGGATACACTTTAGCTTACTGTAGGAGCTCTCCAAGGGCCCTGCTCTTTGACACTCTCTGTGTAGTCACCCACTCCCAATCCATTGCCTTTAGCAGAGGGGAAGGCGGGTCCCATTTCCTGCTCATATGCTTTAACTCAATAGAGATACATCTTGATTTCTTCTGTTTCACTGTGTTCCATGCAAATCAAGAGGACAGATCAGCTGAGCCTTGCCAATGGATTAATGACGGGGGCTCACCTTCTAGGAAAAAAGATTCTTCCCCCACCCTCCATAAACTATGTCAGGCCACCTGAGTAACACCACGGGGAGTCACAACCATATGTCATGTCTTTTCCTTGGACCTGTGGGACTCAGGCTTTTTCTTGTTTCAATCAGAATGGGCTGCTGCCCCTTCCTAGAACTTTCAGATTCACCAGTGATGGTTAGTCTCTGTACTTTAGTCCTATTGCTCCAGTGAAACTTTTTTATGGGAAATTGGTCAACTCTCTAAACTCTAATACTAGTATGAATTCTTTGTTTTCTGGGGATTTTTATTTCTGGATTCTTTTCAAACTCTTTTAAAAAATATATTTTCTGCCAAGACCGGTTTGGCTCAATGGATAGAGCGTCGGCTTGGGGACTGAAGGGTCCCAGGTTCGATTCCGGTCAAGGGCATGTGCCTTGGTTGCGGGCATATCCCCAGTAGGGGGTGTGCAAGAGGCAGCTGATCGATGACTCTCTCTCATCGATGTTTCTAGCTCTCTGTCTCTCTCCCTTCCTCTCTGTACAAAATCAATAAAAATATATTTAAAAAAAAATAATAAAAATAAAAAATATATTTTCTAAGAGCTACTGATTGCCTCTAACAGGCTGAAGGGTGCAGAGGTGCTCAGCGTTCCTCTCATCTTCTCCTCTAACATGGTGATCAGCTGGGATTTACAGCTGAATCACATGACTGCTGGTTCTTCAAACGAAACACACTAACAATCCACTTATCTATCAATCTACCTGCCTGTATATCTACCTAGCTTTTCCCCTGCTTACTAAACAGAATCAGTTCAAGGTAAGCTGCTTCCTTATATTTCCAGGCAATGGACTCTCCACAATGGGTTCATCCACACTGGCCAGTTCAGGAGTAGAGGGCGAGATTCAGAAAGGGGGGAAAGCTAGAAGCAGAGTTTTTCACTCTATAGAGGGCCTTTTAGCCACCAGGCTGAGAGCTAAAATAAAAATCTCCCATGCATTTAGACAGACAGTTCAATGAGAAGCTACTGATCTTTAGACGAAGAAGGGTAACTTTTACCATCACAAACTGAGTGGCTGAGTTGTTAGAAGATGAGCAGTTCCTTCAACAGATGTGAGGCAAAATGGGGCTGATTCAAGGCAAGGAGATAGGCAAACTGCCTCCCATCAGGGCTGCTGATGGGGCAAAGGGAAGAGGAATGGTTGAACCATGAACCATGCAGAGCCATGAACCATGCCTCCAGACCCCATTATGGGAAACCTCACCCCCAGAGGCTGTGAGGCACAGAGAAATCAGACTTGTGAGTGGAGTGGGAAAAGGAAAAGAGATGTTAGCAATTAACATAAAAGAAGGGGTTAAAACCTCATTCCTTCTTGCTTTTAACTCTATAGACTTATGAAAGCTAAGAATTAGGCATGTCTTCCAGCTCCTAACACCTGCTGACTTAAGTGTTCCATCACAATGAGAAACCAGGAGTCTGGAGTACTGTAAGCATCTATGTATTTTGTAAAGCAAACCAAAATAAATATAAGATCTAGCCAGAAGGACTAGCCCGTTTTTTATTATTAAAAGCAAAACACATATCTGTCTCATTCCCCAATAAGCAGGAACAGGTGTTGTCCCCAAGGCATAGGAGGAAAGGAAGGAGACGAAAAAGTAGTGACCTTACTCTTTGAGAGTAATTTTTAGTACTTGTAGTAACTCATTTTGACAGTAAAACATTTGACAGTAAAGGGACCAAACAGATGACAGGTCTGTGTAAACTGGCATGAAACAGATGGAAAAGAGCAGTTTATTTAGTTTTACTGGCTGAGGTATAATCTCTTCATCAAGTCCAGGAAGGTGCTTGAAAAGCTAGAAGTTAGGTCTGCAAAGCCACATGCTTCCAAGGGAACATACAAATGGATATGCACTGAATATTTGTGTCCCCCCAAATTCAGATGTTGTAGCCCTACCCCAATGTGATGGTATCAGGAAGTGGGATTTGGGGAGATAAATGGATTTAGATAGTCATGAGAGTAGGACCCCCCATGATGGCATTAGTGTCTTTTTAAGAAGGAAAAAAGCTCTCAGTGGCACGCAATGAGGAAGGGTCATAAGAGGACACAGTGAGAAGGTGGGTGTCTACAAGCCAGGACCCAGGTTCTCTAATCTGGAACCAAAGCTGCTAGCACCTTGATCTTGAACTTTCCAGCCTCCAGAACTGTGAGAAATAAATGTCTGTTGTTCAAGCCACCCAGGCTATGGTGTTTGTTATGAGCAGCCAGAGCTGACTGAGATAATGGCCTAATTGTCTGGGCTCTTGTCCCTTCCAGAACTGGATTCAGAATTACAGGAGGGACAATATCAGAGGGCATTTTGGCCACAAGCAATTTTTCATTCTTTCTCTCAACATCGACTTGCTCTCTCTGTATAGGTAAATGTACAGTGAGAAGAATTTGGTATTGAAAACTGAAAATAAATAGTGGATGAGAAAAAAAGAACTGTACAAGGGAACCATCTTAAGAAAAGTATAACTCAAATCCTGGCACAGAAAAAGAGGATTTTTAAGAAAATGATTTCTGCAAATGTGCTTACCTTTGTTTAAGCGTCCCATCACAGTAAATTCAAAATACTTGCTGTTGTCAGTGGAAGAGTAAAGGCCGAGGATGGTGGCCGAGCTCTTCGACTGCAGTTTGAAGGTGGAGATCACGTACAGCTCATTCAGGGTGGGGTCGGTCAGGATTGGCCGCAGGGCACCTGGGTTCAGCCTCTGGCTGGAGGATGGGAGAAGGTCAAAGACTGGGGAGAATGGAAAGAGAAAGACATAATCAGTAAAATATTTAAGTTTGGAGCAAACACCTTTTTTTTTTTTTTTTAAAGGGGATAAATGGACAGAAAGCTATGAAGTAATGTAAACGAATGTGGTCATTTTCCACACTGCCAAACTCCCCAGGTCTTATCACTCTTAGAGTGGCTGGCCGTTTGGAACCAGAAGAGATATAGCACAATATTTATCACTAGGTTAGAACCTCCAAGGGAAGACTGAGTTTGCAAATCCCAGTTTGCATCTGGCTGAAGTGGCGGCTCTGGAAATGCCCACTGGGCAAAGCACTGAAGGCTTTAAGTACCAAGGAAGAGGTGAGAGCATCTAAGTCCTGGCTTTTCTTAGATTCCCATCCAGTGAGTTTCTGAAGTCCTTGGGATTCCTCAATCTTCTCCTGGACCAGAGCCAAATGTATTTTCCTGGTCCGTGAGAAAGGACACAGTGGACGCAGCAGAACGCATGGATGTGGTGGGAGACAAAGTGTCAGAAGATGGTTTGCTTCCTTTGTGCGACTTATGTTCCCTTCATGCGCTTACAGGTCTCCAATATTTCTGTTAAAAACCCCAATGCAGAAACAAAACAACGTGGTCTCTATTTCCTGTGACTTAACTGATAGAGTTGGTTTACAAAACCTAGAATAAGTTGCTTGTGTTCACACCAGCAGCACTTTCTCTCCAATGTTTTAATACTTAAGAAAGGTTTGGGAGAGTACATCTAGAGTTATGTAAAAGGCAATGGCCAAATTTGGGTCTAACTCGCTATAAGTTACTTAGCATTTCTGTTGTTTTATGCAAATATTGTTCGAACAGTTCCATAACTGCCTCCTGGATACAATAATTTGGTTACTAAAAGTGTAGTAGTATTCATAATTACACATAGTTCTTATAAATTAATAAAATAATAATCCTTATAGAAAAATGTGCAAAAACCATGAAAAAAAAAACAATTTACAGAAAAAGAGTTACAATGGCAAATAATTATGTATGTAAATGTTCATATGCTTAACTAATGATGAAGGAATTGCTAACTTAATATTTTCACTAAATTGCATAAACAATGAATACAATAATAGCTAACTGTTGATGAGGGTTCAGGAAAGTGGAAACTCATATACTGGTGGGTAAGATCTAATTAGTACAACTTTTTCAAAGACAGTTTAAATAACAGTATCAAAGGCCCTAAGACATACATGCTTTCTGATTAGGAATTCTACTCACAGAAGTTATCCTAAGGAAATAAAGATAGCATGGCAAATTACTTAGGTACAAAGATATTCACCACCTGTGGTAATTTGAGAATTTCTGTGAAGGAAGAATTATGTCAAACTTCAATGGAACAGGGAGAAACCGGAGGCTCAGTGGGCACAGCACTTTGTTATGAAAACAGTGTCCTTGGCAGAGAAAGAAGGGCTCAACAGAGATTAAGCCACCCTGTGGTATTGCAATTGTTTAACAATTCATTATTTGTGGGTTTTAAAAATATATTTTTATTGACTTCAGAGAGGAAGGGAGAGGGAGAAAGAGATAGAAGCTTCCATGATGAGAATCATCCATTGGCTGCCTCCTGCACAGGGATCAAGCCCAAGCAGCCTGGGCATGTTCCTGGACCCCGACTGGGAATCCTGGGTCATAAGTTTACACTCAACCACTGAGCCACACTGGCTGGGCTGGCATTATTTGTAATATCAAAACAATGGGGATGGGACAATTTATCTTAGAGCCCTGGATAAGTACATTTTGGCCCTTTCAAAAAGTGGAATATTATGCATTAAAAAAGGAAGTGCAGCTGACTACTTATAGATGTGGAAAGATGTATATGATATATTAAGTGGAAAAAAGAGATTATAAAACTATACATATAACAGGATCCCACTTGAAATATATACTTGCATAGAAAAATATTTCAAAAACAATACAACAAATATTAACATGAATAGTAGCTGTCTCTGGGTTGTATAGTTATAAATATTTAAATTTCCTTCTGTTTACCCAGTCTCCCCATCCTCGCTTTTTATTTTATTTTAACAGTGAACAGGTATTGCATTTGTAATAAAAAAAGAAATAAAAGTTATAAAGCCAACAAGCAAAAAACAACTTAAGAATGTATACTCTTGCTTCCTTTTGCCCTTTCAATTTTTGGAAAATCTAGGGGGGGGAAAAAAAAGAATGTTTACTCTTTTTAAAAGACAGCCTGTCTTCAGAGTGAATCTGTATCGCTTCTTTCACGGGTACGAAGAACCTTACACAATAATGAATTTACTACTAGACGTGAAGAAAAGCATAATATCTATTATGTTTCCCCTAGCACTCCACTTTCCCCTAACTAGAAGACTTCTATTCTACTTCAAAAGAGAAACAGAAATTTTTAAACTCGCAGAGAATGGGAAATGTTGCATTTCCACCAGTGAGGGCAATATGGCAATATGTTTAAAAGTTCTTTTCAGGACAAGGCATCTTCGGAAAAGGGATGTGAGTTTAAAATGAGAGAACTGCATTCATAACTAACCTCAGGAACTGTTGATTCTTGTTTTGACTATGATCACTTCCATAATTTAGCTCAAGCTAAATTTGCCGGAACTTCAATCTGTTTAGTTCATCTAATCCACTGGATTCTATCTCAAGCGGCAGAATTGGAATTAGTTAGTAATGAATTTGGAGAGTGTTTTGAAAAGGAAATGAGATATTCAATTTTCCTTTAATGTTATTACATTTTAGTAAAAGCACCAGATCTAAGCACAACCTTATAGTGTTAGAGGTTGAAATTACTGTTATCAATGAGCCCAGCTACCATGGTATGAAAATTGAATTTATACATACTAATCAGATTAACAAGGTTAGCTCAGAGGAGAAAGGAGATAAGCAAATTATCCAACTGAGCTGATAATTGCAGAAGTAATTAACTCAATAAAAGAATCTATCAGAAACTTGACTTAATCAGATAATCTACAGCAACTACATTAACTAGATAACTTAGAAAGTACAGCCTAATTTCAAGTCTCCACAATACAGGTAGCTCTCTCTAAGTATAAGCAAAATCTGTACCAGTAGCACACCAGGAAGTTCCGTGTTCAAATGTCAAAAATTCATATAACACAAAATACTATATCCATAAATTCAAACCTGCTTAATCATGTCTTCAATAAGAAAACTTTTGAAATATGTGAAAAATCGACTTTTCTGACACCAAAAAGGTTGTGGATTCAATTCTTGGTCAGGGCACATACTTAGGTTGTGGGTTTGATTTTAGGTTAGAGTGTATATAGGAGGCAACAGATAGATGTTTCTCATATCAACATTTCTTTTTCTCTATCTACTCATCCTTGTTCCTCTCTTTCTAAAATCAATAACATATCCTTGGGTGAGGATTTTAAAAAACAAACTAACTTTCTCATTAAAAAAAAAAAAGATTCTTCACAGCAAAGGAGATTAACGGAATGAAACAGCAACTTATTAAATGTGAGAACATATTGCAAATCATATATCTGACAAGGAGTTAATATCTAAAATATATAAAGGACTCATGCAAAAAATAAACAATCCAATCTGATTTAAAAATGGGCAGAAAAATCAAAGAGGATATACAGATGGTCAATGGGTACATGTGAAGATGCTCAACATTAGTGATGAAATGCAAATCAAAGCCATAAGGAGCTATCCCTTCACACCTGCTAGAAAGGCTAATTAAAAAAATAAGAAACAGTCGGTGAGGACATTTGCACCATTGCTGGCAATGTAACCTGGTGCAGGTTGGAGGTTCCTCAAATTTAAAAACATAACTACCATATGATTCAGCATCTCTACTTCTGGGTACTTATCTAAACACACACACACACACACAAAAACAACAACAACACTAATTTGAAAAGATATATGCACGCCCGTGTTCATTGCAGCATTATTTACAACAGCTGAGATATAGAAACAACCTAAGTATCATAAATGGATGGTTGGATACTGAAAATACAGTATACATATACAGTGGAATATTATTCAGCCATAAAAAATGATAAAATCTTCCATTTGTGACAACATAGATGGACCTAGAGGGTATTATACTAAATGAAATAAATCAGAGAAAGACAGATACTGTATGATCTCACTTACATGTGGAACAAAATAAATAAATACATAAATAAAATAAAAACCAAGCTCATAGAAACTGAGAACAGATTTGTGGTTGCCAGAGGTCAGGGTCGGGGGAAGAGCTGAAATGGATGAAGGGGACCAATAGGTAAAAACTTAATTATAAAACAAGTAAGTCCTGGGATGTAATGTACAGCACAGTGACTACAGCTAATAACACTGTACCACACGTTTGAAAGTTACTAAGGCAGATTTTAAAAGTTGTCATCACACAAAAAAATTCTAATTATGTATGGTGATGGGTATTAAATAGACTTATTGTGGTGATCATTTTTCAATATTACATTTTTTGGATATACACCTGAAATTAACATATGTCAATTATACTTAAAAAAAAAAAAAAGCTTTTTCTTACCTTTGTAGAAGCAAGGCCACAATGAATAAATAGTATATACAGCATTTCAAACATATCAATGCAAACTAAAAGCAGTGCAGTATCCCCTGAAACCACAATCCTGGTTGCCTGATCCGGAATCAAAATGCATTATTTGGTGAAATGCAAAGTTTAAGCGGGTGATGACTGCAATGGAGGGGAAAGGGTTAGCGAGTGCCCTCACCAGCGAGCTTCGTTCTAGCTCAGTGAGGAGTAAGTTTTAAGTTGAGTCTCTTCCAGCTGTATTTCCTTAATCAGTAATAAATCACCCGGGGCACCAATTTCAAACAGATGAAGGCCATCACCTAAGATCTTCTCTTGCTAAAACAATTTCTTCCTTTTGGCCTTTACCAAACAAAAACAAAAATTAAATTAAAAAAAAAATCTGTTAAAGCTTAGTAAGTGCTTTTTGCCTAATGGTTATTTTCACCTCATCTCACAAAGAGGTTTGAGGTTTATCCAGATGTCTTTTCAATCACTGTATTTATCGAATGTTTACTTCTTCATAGAGAAAGATGGATTTCTCAGCCCTTCCTGTACTGTTTATCTTAGGGATCAAGAGACGAAGCCAACCCCCTAAGGAGGTTTTGGGGTCCAAGCAAAGTTAGAGCAGAGAAAGGCGAGCGGCGGGGAGACTGGAACAACGGCAGGTCTCAGACCCTCTGGGTGAACAGGCCTCTGGCCCCACGGAGGGATTCAGGGGGCAAGGGAGAGGGTGGGCCAGCTGGACCGAGACTCGGGGGACAGCACCCCGTTTCGCCCCACTCCAGGCGGCGTATGTTAGAGGTCCAGGGCCATGTGGTGGGTCAGCTTCGAAGAAAACCCCACGTTTTTGCATAGACTGAAAATCAGTTTTGGAGCCCCCAAACTATAGTTTAGGAATGGATTTCATGGTGGATAACGGAGTCTCAGAAACACTATGCCCACGATGCTTTGACTTGGGCCCCAGAGGGACAGAGAGGTGCCCGGCGGGGCCCCGGACGGCCCGGGGCTCCGGGAATGGGAATGGGGGTTCTGGGCCGGCCGCCCCGCCGGGAGCCCACTTACCCTGGGGCGCCTGGGCGCCGGCGCCCAGCCAGGGCTGCAGGGCCAGGTGCAGCAGCAGGAGCGCGGCTCCGCGCGGGGCCGGCATGCTGGCTCTCCCGGGAGCGGCGGCGCGGGCCCTGCCCCGGTGTCCCCGGGCGGCTGGCGGGGCTGGCGGGCCCCGGGCTGCGGCGCAGGTGGAGGGCGCGCGCTGCGGGGCTGGTGCGGGGCCGGCGTCCGCGGTGCCGTCGGGGGCGCTGGCGTCTGGGCGCGTCTGGGCGCTGAGCGGGGCTGGAGCGCGGGCTGCGGGGCTGGGCGGCCGGGCCCGGCGCTTTATGGCCCGGCGGGTCCCGGGAGGAGGGGGAGGGCCGAGGCCGGGGCGGCCCCCTTGGCTGGGATTCCCCTCTGCCGGGAAGAGGGGGCGGCCGGAGCGAGGAGCGGGCGGCGGAGAGGGAGGCGTGCGTGGGGAGCCGCGCAGGAGCCGGGACCTGCTGGGTCCTCTGCTGCGGGCCGGTCCCTGGGCCCCCAGGGGCTCAGGAGGGGAGCAGAGGATGGGCAGCAGGGGGCTGGGGCAGGCGCGCAGGACCGGGTGGAGATGGAGGAGAGAGGGAGAAAGGGGGAGAAAGGACACTGACGGCTAGCTATGGGCACCATCAGGGCTTCCTTTTGTTTGAGAGCATCGTTTGGACAGACTTTGAAGGCTCATCTTGGTTTCCCTTCGGATGGAACCCTGAAGGCTCTCCAGGAACTCTCTCCTAAAGTGGTCCAGAGAGCAGTCTGTTTCGTTTCTTCAGGCTTTCTTTTGAATACCTCAAATGTTGAACATTTTCCCAGCTGTTTTTGAGATCTGAACAGTGAACGTTTTTGAGTTTTTGATGGAAAAAGAACGCCTCTCAAAGAACCCATTCGGACAGAACCGTTTCCAGTTCTGGTGGGGCTTTCTGGAGAGTTTATTTTCAATCCAATTTCTGTCTGTCCACTTCTGCTCCACCCTTCCAAAGATCCCTCGTGAGAGTTTAAAGGTATGGGAGTAGGACCTGAAAAAAGAGGAAACATAAGAAATTAATTCTCATCCTAGGCAAAGCTCCCCAAAATAATGTGGATTAACTAGAATTAAAAATATAGATATATTTTAGAATAATGGCAAACTTTTCCCTCTGAAACAATCTTGACGAGTGGAGAAAATCCAGCAAAGTATTTCTATCCCTGCCTTTAGGTCTCAAATAATTTCTTTCAAAGTTTAAGAAGCTATCTGTCACAAACAGGAAGATTCCCTCATCAGCTTGTTTCCATACCATGCTAGAGTAACCCCTCACCAATTATGATTCTACTTACAGCTAATGCCCTGGAGATTCTCCAGCTATTTTCAGAGCTCTTTTCCATTTGAGGTCTAACATAATTCGAATCCAGGTTTCATTTGATGCCACATTACACTGAAGTCACTGTATGAAATGAGCCATAGCAGGTCTGCACAGGAGAGCCCGGAGGAGAGGGTGTGCATGTTCTAACAAACCAAAAGCTCTCATGAAACTTCTTTAATATACTTTATTAAGAAACTGTGCACATATTCCTTAGAAAAATAACCAGAAATGCAATTGTGAGGACATTTGTTACAAATAGTAACTATATCTACTGAACTAGATTTTGACAGTTAGCATTTCTTAAAGTGACTACTCTACTTCATTAAAGGATACATTAATCCATCCACATGGCAGTTCCTGCAATGTCCAGTGATAATAATGATTGCTGAGCCAGGAAAACCCCCGGTTTAGTGCCAGATGTGTGAGTGTATTTGCTATGAAAGTATGATGCAGAGTGCAATGAAATAATGAGATATACAAAGCAAACTTGCAGAATGTGCTAAAATTCTATTCATTTGGAGTTTCACATTTGGGCTAATTTGATTTGAATTGGATTGAAGTTAATCTAAGGGGGAAAAGGTTTGTAAGCAAATGAATAATGTTACTTGAGTTCCTCGGGGCAATGTTTAACCTAACTGAAAGAACTAACACATGAAAGGTTTTAGTAGTTAACTGTCACCAGGAAAATCAGTACTTCTAATGGCAAATGAGCCCTAAAGCAGCTGATCTGGATAGCTGCAGTTTTTTTTTCAATCTTAAATGTAAAAATTATGTGGGTTTGCTATCCAATCATTGACAAAGGTGTTATGTTAGAAAAAATATTTTCCTATTAGACATGAAAGCTTAATTATAATGGTTTTCTCATTAATGTAATCAATTATCCAACACATAATTACTATGTGTCCACTCATTAATTAATTCAACAAATATTTATTGACAACCTTCTAGACTGTGCCTTGCATAGAAAGACAAGTGAGACAGTTCTTGTTCTCCAGCTCATAGTCTACTCAGACAAAGCAGGTGATATAAACAATATGATAAAAGCTGTCCTAGACATACGTCCTAAGAAAGAAGGAAATGCTGAAAAGAAAGCAACTTGTAGGCAGAGAGCGCTAGAAAAGGCTTCCTAGAAGAGCTGCCTTTTCATTTGGGTCGTGAAGGACGAGGAGGCATTCTCCATGTGACAAAGTAAGGGGAGAACATTGCAAGCCGAGAGAATGCGTGTTCTGTGTGAGACCAAGGAGGGAGACGTCAAGATACCTGTCCTGTCTGGGGCCCTGACCTGGGCAGCTTGGCATGTAGTTCGTTCCCTGAGATAGGAGGGGGAGGTGATGATTTGGGTTGGCCATGTTGAGTTTAAGGCATCATCAACACATTCAAATGGAGCTGTCCATTAGGCATTTAGTTACATGGGAGAGAGGTGGAGAGGTGTGGGCATCATTAATTTATAGATAGCCATAGGGATAGATGAGACTAATTGAGAAGAGTGTGTAAGATGAGGAAAAAACACTGAGGAACACTAACATTCAGAGGTTAGTCGATAACGAGAAGCCAGCAATAAAGATGAAAAGATGGAAAAGAAAACCAACGAAGTACGGTGTCAGGGAGGCCTGGTGAATAGTCTCAACACTGTGGAGAGGTCAAACAAGATAAGAGGTACAAACCATGCTTGGGTAGGCAGCACAGAAGTCATTGGCGACTCTGTTGAAAGCAGGTTGATGGAGCAGTGTGGATGAAAGAAAAGCAGAGTACTGCCATTTGAGGAATGAGGATGATAGGATAGGAAGTGGAGATAGTAAGAGTAATAATGAAGTAAAATAACTTTCAAGAAGCTTGCCTGTGAAGTGGAAGGCGGAGATAGGCCAGGAACTAATAGGAGAGATGTGAACATATTTTGATGTAGGTAGGTTAGGGCTGCCGAGGAGGGAATAGTTGATATGTGCTTTCTCTTAATCAAGGGGCACTAAAAGTATTTTGTGTTTTCCTCTAATAGTTTTGCATTTTATGTATCATATCACCCCTCTAACAATATAAGCTTTACAAAAATGAAGGCTGTCTGTGCAAGACAGTAACAGAATTCCCACCCCAGGGGTTTATTATCTCCTATAACATGCAGTCCAGAGAGCTGTAGCAGTAGTTCAGTGAATTAACAATATCATGTCTCTGGGTCAGCTTTTGGACTCCCCTCAGGATGCAAGGTGGCTGCTGTAGCTCCAAACACCATCTCTTTTCATGACAACATCCAAAAGCTTGTTCTCTGACTCTCTTTCTCTCTCTCTCTTCCACCCCCACATCCTTCACAGAGGAAACCCATTCTGAGAAACACCCAACAGACTTCTCTGGTCACAATGGGTCAAGTCTTGTCTGCCAGGAAGGATTTGGAAAGTGAGGACTGATGCTTTCAGCTTCTGTTGTGGGACTGGTCTGAACCAGGAAGGAAGGGGGAGAAGAGAATGGAGAATTGACTGTGCCAACATGGTCAGCCACAGGCTCTGTGTCTTGCACTTTGTTATGCCCATCACAGTGCTGGGTGCTCTCTTATGAGGTTTATAGGGAGAAAAAACAAACATATGAAGGTAGATGAGAATGATGTACTGCTAAGTCACAATAGGAGGAAAGTGTGAGGAAAAATTTAACAGCTTGCCTGTGTGGTTCAGGGTTTGAGTGCTGACCTATGACCAGGAAGTCACAATTCAAGTCCTGGTCAGGGTACATGCCCAGGTTGTGGGCCTGATCACTGTAGTTAATTCACTGACTCTCTGGACTGCGTGTTATAAGAGATAATAAACCGCTGGGGTGGGAATTCTGTTACTGTCTTACACAGAGAGCCTTCTTTTTTTGTAAAGCTTATATTGTTAGAGGGATTATGTGATATATAAAATGCAAAACTATTAGAGGAAAACACAAAATACTTTTAGTGCCCCTTGATTAAGAGAGAGCACATATCAACTACTGTGTGGGACATATAGGAGACTGCCAATCAATGATTCTCATCCTTGATATTTCTTTCTCTTTCTTTCTCTCTCTCTGAAATCAATAAAACAATATTTTAAAAATAGTTAACAGACTTAGGGGAAGTGAATGGGCAAAAAGAGACAAATAACTTCAATTTCAATGGGTTTAATATAAAGAACAGACTTCATATATAAAATGTTCTGAAATAGGGATTGGCCCATTGTGGCACACAGGTTGTTTCTGCAGAGTCAGCAAGCTAGCAATAGTTTTTTTACATTTTTATTTTTATTTTATTTTATTGATTTTTTACTGAGAGGAAGAGAGAGGGATAGAGAGTTAGAAATATCGATGAGAGAGAACCATCGATTAGCTGCCTCTTGCACACACATAGCCCCCCTCCCAACTGGGGCTGTGCCCGCAACCAAGGTACGTGCCCTTGACCGGAATTGAACCTGCGACCTTTCAGTCCGCAGGCCTACGCTCTATCCACTGAGCCAAACCGGTTTTGGCAGTTTTTTACATTTTTAAATGGTTGGAAAAATATGTTTTTATTTCTGACATGTGAAAATCATGTAAAATTCCAGTTGTAAGGTCTGTCAGTAGGTTTTTTTGGAACAAAGCTATGTTCACTGGTCTATGGCTATTTTTTGTGGCATAACCATCAAGTTGAATGTTTGCAACAGAGATTGTATAGCCTGCAAAGGCCTAGAATGTTAACTCTCTGGCTCTTTACAGAATAAGTTGCTGACCCTTATTCTAGACCCTAGGTTTTCTGGCAATCCTATTCGTTATGTTAAGACTTACTCATTAAGCAGAAAAGCAGATGGGAAGAGGAAGCAAACACTAGTGGACTCCCTTGTTGCTGATATTCCATTCCTTACCCTACTATCTTGTACTCAGATCTATGATTTGAGGGGCACAAGGCTTTGCAATTTTATCAAACATGTCAACTCAAAATCCAACTTATACAATTTTCAGAAAGAGATTACCTTATGGAGTTCTGACATGTCCCTTCATA